CCGAAGATTCTGAGAGTCCGCCACGTCTATTAATTGCGTCTCTCGTCTCATCCGTCCAATTCAATTCATTTCGTCACGTTTGCGTCTTCCTCCAATTCATAGCTTCGTTTCGTTCAATACGCCGGTCAGAACTGTCCACCAAATCCGGCCCTTCATTAATTCGCGCAGTTCATGCGTCCATACGTAATTCATTCTTTGAGACAGGCGTCTGTTTATTCATTGATTCATTTGCTTAGGCCGCTATCTCTATATAACCATTCGTCCACGCACCCGTCATCCGTCTATCCAATATACCCACCTATTCGATCACTCAACTGTTTGTTCTATCTATCTATCTATCCGTTAGTTAATTCATTCATCGGGCCAGTATTCTGTAACGCCTGTCCTAAATGCATAACCTGGCTATTAATCTATCCATACATTGGTCGCTCAAGCTGTAGCCATCCATCTGCCGTCTCATCCATTCAGGGTTCGAATTTGCCACGTGGCCATTGAGCCAGCCAGCCAGCCCCTCTGCCTCTCCATTCAGACAGCCATCCAATCTGCCGTCTGCCAAGCCATCTCTGAGTATTATATACGTAATCCAATCTGTCTACACAGCAGTCCATCTGAAGATTGATCTACGTAGCCAAGATCGCTTTCTAGCCAGCTATCCAATCAGCCGTCTGCCTAGCCATCTCTGAGCATTCTATATGTACACCCATCGATCTGCCTACACAGCAGTCCGTCTATAGGTTGATCTATATAGCAACTATAGCCTTCTAGCCAGCTATCCAATACAGCCGTTTGCCAAGCCATCTGAGTATTCTATACGTACACCCATCGATCTGCCTACACAGCAGTCCGTCTATAGATTAATCTATGTAGCCACTATATCCTTCCAGACAGCCGGCCTTCTGTCCATCGATTGTTGTAGCCATCCATTTGCCCGTCCCTCCATCTATAGATGTATTGATCCATCCAGCAAGTCGATAATCCAACGTATAGGGCGGTGACGTGGCCCAGCGGTTCGAATCCGGAAGGACGCCCTGGTTAATAATGCACCCGTGGCATTAACCATAGCCTAGCACTCGCCGTCTGCTGCTTCACTCACAGTGGACGTTAACGATCCCGTGACGCCATAAGAAACGAGTAGGCCAATCGTTGCATGCCGGCGTCACGGTCGGAATTGGGTGCCACGGTGGCTAGGAGATGTTAACCACCTCGCCTGGTATACGGGAGGTCGTGGGTTCGACCACGACTCTTGACGCCTGCTAGATATTTGGAGTTTGCGGTGTCTCTCTCTCCCCCCGTGGTCGCGTGGATTTTTCTCCCCGTTTAGAGTTCGTGGCTGCTTTACATTTCCATACGATGCTGATAAGTCGCTTCGATGAGCTATCATTTGTGATGGCCAGGTCGCTTCAGAAAAAATATCTCTTTAGCTCAGTGGGGCCTTAACCTGGTAAAATAAAAAAAATAGTTTACTGTAGTTCTAAGTTTTAATAGCACAAATTTAATAGCGGATTTCATAGCGCATGAATAGATTTAATGGCACAGATTTGAATGGCGCAGATTCGCATGGAGGCAAAACATCGCGTCCCTTACTGTCGGACGAGTGCTCAACTTGCAGGCCGAGTCGCGTTGTTCCGCACAGGGACAGCTGCCACTGGGAATGGGGGGGGGGGGGGGGCCCCTTTGAACGTTTGAGATGCAATGGAAGGCGTTTTGATTTGCTGACACTTTTAAGTAAATGCCAACCATGTTTTTTTAAATAAATTACCATTATGATTATATTCTTACGTTTGAGATGAGATGCGATGGAAGGTGCTTTGATATGCTGAAACTTTTAAGTAAATGCCAAATATGCTTTATGTCAAATAAATGATCATAATTGTGATATTCTTACGTTTGAGATGAGATGCGATGGAAGGCGCTTTGAGTTTCTGACACTTTTAAGTAAATGGCAAAGATGATTTTTAAAATATATTATAATTATTGTTACATTCTTACGTTTGAGATGCGATGCAATAAAAGGCGTTTTGATTTGCTGACACTTTTAAGTAAATGCCAAACATGTTTTTATAAATTACCATTATGGTTATATTCTTACGTTTGAGATGAGATGCGATAGAAGGTGCTTTGATTTGCTGACACTTTTAAGTAAATGCCAAATATGCTTCATGTTAAATAAATTATCATAATTGTGATATTGTTACGCTTGAGATGAGATGCAATGGAAGGCGCTTTGATTTGCTGACACTTTTAAGTAAATGCCAAAGATGTTTTTAAAAAAATATTATCATTGTTATATTCTTACGTTTGAGATAAAATGGCATGGAAGGCACTTTGATTTGCTGATATTTTAAAGTAAATGGCAAAGATGATTTTCTAAATATATTATAGTTATTGTTATATTCTTACGTTTGAGATGAGATGCAATAGAAGGCGCTTTGATTTGCTGACACTTTCAAGTGAATGACAAAGATATATATTTTAATATCATCATTGTTTATTATATTCCACTGGACATCTGTAAAAAAGAGCTTCATAGCTCATCGGATTCCTCCAGTATAAATATTCTGAATCTGATAGAATGCTATGGTATTTGCGCTGTGTACAACGCGTGCGTTGTGAAACGTGCGCGTTTGTAGAGTTTGCACGACAGATGCGCCCCTCGAGTCTCGCCTCGAGATGCCCTCCCCTGTAGAGGACAAAAAACAAGTCAACACGTTTGTCGATAACACTGCGTGTGTGTGTGCGTGGCCTTAAAAAGGACACATATAATAGGCGACGTTTCGGGAAATGGCCCTTTTCCATAGCACGTACAAATAATAACCCCCCCCCGGCCCCCACCGTCTCGCCCCAGGGGGGGGGGGGCTACAGAAATAACAAGATGAGTAAAACATTTTTTTAAAATAGAATTCGATCTGAAACAAAATAACCTCCCACGCACCAACACACAATTCCATATTTAAATAGCCGCCATGCAACGTGAGTTTATACGAGACGTCTAAACGGTGGTGGCCCTTTAATAAATGACGTCACGGAGCAGCAGCATCAACAACCACAACAACCGCCGCCAATCGCCACTTTGGTGGCGGTGACGTCAGCACGGCGCTTTTCGTGCCAGGCTAGGTGCACGTTGAGGCCGCGTGAAGTGTCGAACGCCCGCCGGCAGGAGGTCATGAAGCCAAGGCAAAGATCTCCCGTGTAGCCTGTAACAGACTGTTGGGGCAAGTGCTGTTAGCGAGCAGCACCTATGAAGGCCGGCACGGCACACAAAAGGGGGTGGGTGACCAGCACCGCGCCCCACCGCCTTTGTCTCCCCAGTGGCGATGTTCACACATCGCACCGGGTACTAGTTTGAGGCTGAGTCGACCTAGGGGGAAAGCCCAGGAACCGCTTCAGACAATCGTCACCGGTGTTGGCCGCGAGCGGGAATCAAACTCGGGTCGCCGGGGTTCGTAGTGCAGAGCGCGGTAGCCGCTCCGACGTTACCAGACCATCCCCTCTCACCAGTGCGAGAGACGTAGCCGTCGTTGCATATTCTCTGTCCCACTGTTACCCGGCGTATTGGAAGAGGGGTGCCAATACCCACGCTTTGAATGCCTATGCCGAGTCGTCAATCAATATGACCTTGACCCCCAACACCACCACCCGCCCCCCCCCCCCCGTGGCATATCGAGCCGCGGTTGGGTCAACGCAGGCCGTGCTCGATGGTCATTGAGTTTCAAAACCTCTTGAACTGATTAACAAGATGTGGGGGGGGGGTGGGGGTGGCGGAGAGGGGGGTGGAGAGGGGAGGGAGTGGGGGAGACACGTGTACATCGTAAACCGCACGCAACCGATGTTGCAAGCTCAGAGGTTTTTCTTGTTGTCGTTTTCCTCCCAAAGCGATTGTTTTCTGTATTCCAGTAACACGCCGGATTTATGTCGTCGCTTAATTATTAACACCGCTACCTGATTTAAAACTAAATTTTTATTTTCATTTTTTTATTTGACCAGGTTAAGGCCAACTAAAGTACGTAGCTCGATTTTCAGCAAGCGACCTGATCGTCACAAGTGATAGCTCAACGAAGTGGCTCATCATCATCATCATCACCACCACCACGTGGAAATTTCATAGCAGCAGCCAAAGACTCTAAACGCCGTGATGCTCATTCTAAATGTGGAGGGAAAACCCGGAGGACGCGGAAGAGAAATCCAATTAACCATGGGGAGAGAGAAACGCCGACAACTCCAAATATACAGCAGACGTCAGGGTCGGGAACCCACGACCTCTTGTATACCTGGCGAGGTAGTTAACATCTCCTAGACGGCTACCGTGGCGCCTACCATTTATACCAAGTGGGAAGAAACCGAAGCACCCGAATAAAATCCACGCCTTGCACAAGGGGGAGAGCAACACTCTTATCCCCGTGCAGATGGAAACAGATGGGAGATTAATCCACTCCCTGTCCTGCCTTGTACAGCAAGAGGACTCGGCACTGCCGTGGAAATATCTCAATTTGTTCACCCCACCGACTCCGATGAATCGGTCGCGAGTCCGGTGTTAGTGTTCGTACACGTGTCTGTGCCTGTGTTCGTGTGTTCTTTGTACATAGGTCGACGCGTTAAGCATCGTCACTCGGGAGACAAAGGCGGCCGGGCGTGGTGCTGGCCACCCACCCCCTCGTGTGCTGTGCCGGCCTTCATAACAGTTCTTGCCCCAACAGTATGTTAAGGCTATAGGGGGGGGGAACTTTGTCTTGGTACATAGGACGATTTGTTCCTTCCCACCTTTCGTCTCCCTGTCTCTCCGACATCAGTCCGTCCGTCTATGCGTCTGACGTCCGTCCGTCATATCCGTTCGCCCGTCTGTCCGTTCGTCTGTCTGACGTCCCTCCATCCGTCCATCCGTCCACCTGTCCATCCATCCATCCATCCGTTCATCCGTCTATGGGTCTGACATCCATCCGTCCGTCCGTCCGTCTGACGTCCGTCCGACCTCCGCCCGCGTGCCCGTGCGTGTGCGCCGTCAGGAGGAGCCGCCATGCCGTTCAGCAACACCCACAACGCGTTCAAGCTGCGCTACTCGTCCGAGGCCGAGTTCCCGGACCTGAGCCAGCACAACAACCACATGGCCAAGGTGCTCTCGCCCGAGATGTACGCGGCCCTGCGCGAGAGGCACACGCCCAGCGGCTTCACCCTGGACGACGTCATCCAGACCGGGGTAGACAATCCGGGTGAGTCGCACCGAGCGTTTGTCACCGCGGCAGCGGTGGTCGTGAATAGTGATTTATAATAATAGTCGTTATGGTAATGATAATGACGATGACCTTGCGTACGAACGATGGCAGTGGGAGAAGATCAGGAGCTCTATAAAAACTCAACTATTTTACCAGGTACAGGCCCCACTGAGCTGTCTATCTCTTTTTCGGAAGCTACCTGGCCATCGCAAATGATAGCGCAACGAAGTTGCTGATCATATAATGTGGACATTTATAGCAGCCACGAACTTTAAACACGTGACGTTGATTTGAAACGTGGATGGAAAAAAAACGGAGGGATCCGGAGAAAAATCCACGCGACCACGGGGGGGGGGGGGGGGGGGGGGGGTGGGGGAGAGAGACGCAAACTCCAAATATACAGCAGGGGTCAGGGTCGGGATCGGACCCACAACCTCCTGCACAGCGGGCGAGGTAGCTAACATCTCCTAGCCACCGCGACGCCCTGCTGCTAGCCACATCGCGAGGGGTTTCAGCACAGAGAGAGTTGGTGTCGTTTTGCTGTTCCTCCTCCTCCTCCAGCACCCTCGTGTGGCACCATGCCGGCCTCCAACAGCCGCTACCACTGCTGCTACTCACGCTCACAGCACTTTCCACCCCCCCCCCCCCACACCACCACAGGCCACCCGTTCATCATGACGGTGGGCTGTGTGGCGGGAGACGAGGAGTCCTACGAGGTCTTCAAGGAGCTCTTTGACCCCATCATCCAGGACCGGCACAACGGCTACCTGCCCACGGACACGCACAAGACCGACATCGACGCAGACCACCTCAAGGTGGGCGCCACGTCGCTCGCGGGGTGCTGGCCCGTCTGTCTGTATGTCCGTCTGTCTGTATGTCCGTCCTCTGTCTGTATGTCCGTCCTCTGTCTGCTGGTCCAACTGTCTGTCCATCTGTTTTCCGGTCCGTCTGCCTGTCAGTCCGTCCATCTGTCTGTCTGTCTGTCGGTCTGTCCATCCGTCTGTATGTCCATCTGTCTGCTGGACCTACTGTCTTTACATCCGTCTGTGTGTCTGTCTGTCCATCTGTCCTTCTTTCTGTCCATCTGCCTATCTGTGGGTCAAACTGCCTGTCCACATATCCTCGGTGGTCAAAGCCACACAAGGGCTAAAGTCACTCGTGTGTCATGCAGATTTAATTCACCGGGTAAGGACGCTGCGTCCGTGCGTCCGTACCCGGCCGCGGTGTGCGTCGAACGTCATCACCGGGCGAGACAAAGGCGGCCGGGCGTGGAAGCCGGCCGCACCCTCGTTCTCGTGCGCCTCCCAACAGCCTTTAGTCCCGGCGGTCTGTTCGAGGCTACGCGGGGGACCTTTGTCTTTGCTGTGCGTGCAGGGGGGGGACGACCTGGACCCGGACTACGTGCTGAGTAGCCGCGTGCGCACCGGGCGCAGCATCCGGGGATTCTGCCTCCCCCCGCACTGCAGCCGCGGGGAGCGCCGAGCCATCGAGAGCCTCTCCATCGAGGGTGAGAGTCGGGAGGGGTTTGGGGGGGGGGGGGCAGGGAGGGGGGCACAGCTCATCGTCACCGTCACCGTCGTCATCACCGTCATCATCATCGTCGTCACCGTCATCATCATCGTCGTCACCATCATCATCATCGTCGTTGTCATCATCTCCGTCACCATCTTCATTGTCACAATATCGTTGTCACCGTCATCATTGTCACCATCATCATCATCACCATCAACGTCGTCATCACCATCGTTGTTATCGTCACCATCATCGTCCATCGCGGGGGTGTGGGGAGCCACCTCTCATCTCATCATCACCATCATCGCCATCATCGTCATCGCCCATCAAGTTGAGTGGGGGTGAGATCTCATTGTCATCATCGTCCATTGAGAGTGAGAGGTGGTGAGACGCAGCGTCTAATTTAGGCCGGGTGGTCTGTCCAGCTCAATGACCCGGACAATATTATCCATACCCGGCACACCACGTCCAATGTACCTCTCTCTACGGCTGTGGCTATTGGGGTCACGTGCCAGACACTTCCGTTAACCCCGCAAAGAAAAAACAAATTAGTGACACCACGAAGCCTCGTCTCCACCTCCTCCCCCAATTCCCCCTCCCTCCTCCCCTCTCCCTCCTTCTCTCCTACCTCCCACCAGCCCTGAGCCAGCTGGACGGGGATCTGCAGGGGAAGTACTACGCGCTCAAGAGCATGACTGACGCCGAGCAGCAGCAGTTGATCGACGACCACTTCCTGTTCGACAAGCCCGTCTCCCCGCTCCTTCTCGCGTCCGGCATGGGCCGCGATTGGCCCGACGGCCGCGGGATCTGGTACGTGGGGTTGGTGGTGGTGGTGGGAGTTGGTGGCGGTGGGGTTGGTGGTGGTGGTGGTGGGAGTTGGTGGCGGTGGGGTTGGTGGGGAGGCCCGGGAGGTGGCGGTCGCCGTTTTGCCGAGCATCAGCTGGCCGCCCCCGTTAATACCGCGGCGGTCGTGGTAATTGACCGTGATGATCTAAATTGTATGTTTCACTCAAGGCGCTTGATGACGCAGTCTTTACAAAACGGTGGCATGGAACGGAACGATGGAGTTGGCACGGGGGGTGCGCGTGCTTACGAGGTTTCGAGGAACGAGCGACACCAGCGATATAGAGGGATACTTGGGGTTCACGAAAGGGCTATAGGGGAGGGATGGGAAGGAGTGGAGGGGGCGAGGGGAGGGAAGAGGATGGGAATGGGTGATGGTAGACAAGAGGTGAGGCTTTGAGAGAGGAATGGGAGGAGGTTAAGGAAGGGGACTTCTTCATGTGCAGAGGCAGTGTTGAGTCACTGGTGCAGTGTTGAGTCCATGGTGCAGTGTTGAGTCAATGGTGCAGTGTTGAGTCTATGGTGCAGTGTTGAGTCGCAGTGTTGAGTCTATGGGCAGTGTTGAGTCTATGGGCAGTGTTGAGTCTATGGTGCAGTGTTGAGTCAATGGTGCAGTGTTGAGTCCCAGTGTTGAGTCTATGGGCAGTGTTGAGTCTATGGGCAGTGTTGAGTCTATGCGGCAGTGTTAAGTCTATGATGCAGTGTTGAGTCTATGATGCAGTGTTGAGTCTATGGTGCAGTGTTGAGTCTATGGTGCAGTGTTGAGTCTATGGTGCAGTGTTGAGCCTATGGTGCAGTGTTGAGTCTATGGTGCAGTGTTGAGTCGAAAGTGCAGTGTTGAGTCTATGGTGCATTGTTGAGTCTATGGTGCAGTGTTGAGTCTATGGTGCAGTGTTGAGTCTATGGGCAGTGTTGAGTCTATGGTGCAGTGTTGAGTCTATGATGCAGTGTTGAGTCTATGGTGCAGTGTTGAGTCTATGGGCAGTGTTGAGTCTATGGTGCAGTGTTGAGTCTATGTGGCAGTGTTGAGTCAATGGTGCAGTGTTGAGTCTATGGCGCAGAGTTGAGTCTATGGTGCAGTGTTGAGTCTATGGTGCAGTGTTGAGTCTATGGTGCAGTGTTGAGTCAATGGTGCAGTGTTGAGCCTATGGTGCAGTGTTGAGTCTATGGTGCAGTGTTGAGTCAATGGTGCAGTGTTGAGTCTATGATGCAGTGTTGAGTCTATGGGCAGTGTTGAGTCTATGGTGCAGTGTTGAGTCTATGTGGCAGTGTTGAGTCAATGGTGCAGTGTTGAGTCTATGGCGCAGTGTTGAGTCTATGGGCAGTGTTGAGTCTATGGGCAGTATTCTTAGTTCTTTCGGTAAAGTCACGTTGAAGGGAAACAACAAAATAATAAAATATATATAAAACAATAAAAATTCTCACGACGTTTCGACCATAACACAAACGGCCGTCTTCAGGTGTGTTGGTTTGCAAAGATGTATTTATTTTTTAACGGTGTATTTATTTATTTATAAAAAAAACGTTAGCGCCACGCGCAGCGATTTGGCAGTTTATTTAGGACTAGTCCATCTATATTCTGAAAAGAGGAGGGGGGAGACGAATTTTTGTTTTAATGTATGCTGTCTGAAAGCCACTGTAAGCGTGAACAATCAATTAAGACCTGAAATGGTTTATCAAATCTTTCCAATGATTGCTAAGATAGAATCCATCTTCTCGGTTGAAATTGTCTCTGTGCTTGTATATGTGGATAGCCTCATGAACGAATCTCTCATGGTAGCCAGATGGCTTACAAAGAACCTCTGTCTTGGAAAAGTCAATGTCATCTGAGCCTACTGAATTATAACAATGATCTGCCACGGCCGAGGTGTTGGTCCTACCCTGTTTAAGGTCTGCTTTGTGTTCACGAATGCGGTCTGAGACATGGCGTTTGGTTTCTCCAATGTAACTACTACCACAGAGGCAACTTAGTTTGTAGACACCAGGGTATTGTATGTCCGGAATCACATCTGCTTCGCTCTCGGTGGACGTGAACGCTCCCGCGACGTCACTGGCAGCTGCTGTGTGCCGGCACAGTCAGTGCCGTTCACCGTCGGAAAATTTGACAAATTTCCGATGCGTGACTCAAATCGCGAAACTTAGCCGAGCTCTCCACTCCCCCCTCCACTTCATCCTCCTGATACTCCTCCTCCTCCTTCACCACCTTCTCCTCCTTCACCACCTTCTCCTCCTTCACCACCTTAACTCCTCCTCCATCTCACATTCTCCTCCCACCTCCTCCATCTTACACCCCTCCCTACCACATCCTCCTCCTCCCTCTTTCCCACGATCGCCTCCTCTACTCTAACCCTCTTCCTCCCCTCTCCTCCCCGTGGTGCTGCTGGTGGTGGTGATGCTGGTGATGCTGGTGGTGGTGCTGGTGGTGATGGTGGTGCTGGTGGTGATGCTGGTGGTGGTGATACTGGTGCTGGTGGTGCTGGTGGTGGTGCTGGTGGTGGTGCTGGTGGTGCTGGTGGTGATGCTGGTGGTGCTGATGGTGGTGCTGGTGGGGAGCGGTGGTGTAGCGGTTAGCGCGCTGCACTATGAACCCGGCGACCCGAGTTCGATTCCCGCTCACGGCCAACACCAGTGACGATTATCTGAACCGGTCCCGGGCCTCCCCTAGGTCGACTCAGCCTCAAATGAGTACCTGGTGCGGTGTGTAAACATTGCCACTAGGGAGACAAAGGCGGTCGGGCGTGGTACTGGCTACCCACCCCCTCGTGTACCGATACCGGCCTTCATAGGTGCTCGCTAACAGCACTTGCCCCGAGAGCCTGTTAAGGCTATATGGGGGGTCTTTCTCTTTGTGTTTTTTTGGTGGTGGTGATGCTGGTGATGCTGCTGGTGATGATGGTGGTGGTGCTGGTGGTGGTGATGCTGCTGGTGCGGGGAGCGGTGGTGGTAGTGGTTTGCGCGCTGTGCTACGAACCTGACAACCCGGGTTCGATTTCCGCTCACGGCCAACACCAGTGACGATTATCTGACCGGTCCTGGGCCTCCCCTAGGTCGACTCAGCCTCAAATGAGTACCTGGTGCGGTGTGTAAACATCGTCACTGGGGAGACAAAGGCGGCTGGGCGTGGTGTTGGCCACCCACCCCCTCGTGTGCCGTGCCAGCCTTTATAGGTGCTCGCTAACAGCACTTGCCCCTACAGTCTGTTAAGGCTACACGGGGGATCTTTGTCTTTGATGCTGGTGGTGCTGGTGGACAGGCACAACGACACCAAGAAGTTCCTCGTGTGGGTCAACGAGGAGGATCACCTCCGCGTCATCTCCATGGAGAAGGGCGGCGACATGAAGTCTGTCTTCCAGCGCTTCTGCACCGGCCTCACCAAGGTCAGCAGCGGCCTTCCCCCTCCATCGACACCCCTCCCCTCAATTCCCTTCTCCCTCCCTCTTCCACCTACTCCTCTTCCTCCATCATCCCACATCCTTCCCTCCTGGTCTTACTGGTCCTCCACCCCCTTTGCCCTCCCTCCCTCCAATCATCGCTCCTCCACCTCGATTTAACCGTCGGTCTCCGCCACGTCCTGCCCCCTCCCCCTCTGTCCACAATCCCCCCTCTCCCTCCCCCTGTCGCCCCCCCCACCCTCCCCACCCTCCCCACCCTCCCCACCCCCTTCCTCCTCCTCCCCCACCCACCCACCCCATTGGCCCCGGCGGCAGATCGAGGATATCTTCAAGCAGAAGGGCCACCCGTTCATGTGGAACGAGCACCTGGGCTACGTGCTCACGTGCCCCTCCAACCTGGGCACGGGGCTGCGTGCCGGCGTGCACATCAAGCTGCCCCACCTCAGCAAGCACGCCGGCTTCGGGGACACGCTCAAGCGCCTGCGCCTGCAGAAGCGCGGCACGGGTACGCGCGCGCGTGTGTGGTGTGTGGTGTGTGTGTTAGTGACCAGGGGGGTGTGTGTGTGTTAGTGACCAGGGGGGAGAGGTGTGGTGTGTGTGTGTGTGTGTTAGTGACCAGGGGGGGAGAGGTGTGGTGTGTGTGTGTGTTAGTGACCAGGGGGGAGAGGTGTGTGGTGTGTGTGTGTGTGTTAGTGACCAGGGGGGAGAGGTGTGGTGTGTGTGTGTGTTAGTGACCAGGGGGGAGAGGTGTGGTGTGTGTTAGTGACCAGGGGGGAGAGGTGTGGTGTGTGTGTGTGTTAGTGACCAGGGGGGGAGAGGTGTGTGGTGTGTGTGTGTGTGTTAGTGACCAGGGGGGAGAGGTGTGGTGTGTGTGTGTGTTAGTGACCACGGGGGAGAGGTGTGGTGTGTGTTAGTGACCACGGGGGAGAGGTGTGGTGTGTGTGTGTTAGTGACCACGGGGGGAGAGGTGTGGTGTGTGTGTGTGTGTTAGTGACCACGGGGGAGAGGTGTGCGGTGTGTGTGTTAGTGACCAGGGGGGAGAGGTGTGGTGTGTGGTGTGTGTGTGTTAGTGACCAGGGGGGAGAGGTGTGGTGTGTGTTAGTGACCAGGGGGGAGAGGTGTGGTGGTGTGTGTGTTAGTGACCACGGGGGAGAGGTGTGTGGTGTGTGTGTGTTAGTGACCAGGGGGGAGAGGTGTGGTGTGTGTGTGTGTGTGTTAGTGACCACGGGGGGAGAGGTGTGGTGTGTGTGTGTTAGTGACCACGAGGAGAGGTGTGGTGTGTGTGTGTGCTAGTGACCACGGGGGGAGAGGTGTGGTGTGTGTGTGTGTGTTAGTGACCACGGGGGAGAGGTGTGCGGTGTGTGTGTTAGTGACCAGGGGGGAGAGGTGTGGTGTGTGGTGTGTGTGTGTTAGTGACCAGGGGGGAGAGGTGTGGTGTGTGTTAGTGACCAGGGGGGAGAGGTGTGGTGGTGTGTGTGTTAGTGACCACGGGGGAGAGGTGTGTGGTGTGTGTGTGTTAGTGACCAGGGGGGAGAGGTGTGGTGTGTGTGTGTGTGTGTTAGTGACCACGGGGGGAGAGGTGTGGTGTGTGTGTGTTAGTGACCACGAGGAGAGGTGTGGTGTGTGTGTGTGCTAGTGACCACGGGGGGAGAGGTGTGGTGTGTGTGTGTGTGTTAGTGACCACGGGGGAGAGGTGTGTGGTGTGTGTGTGTTAGTGACCAGGGGGGAGAGGTGTGGTGTGTGGTGTGTGTGTGTTAGTGACCAGGGGGGAGAGGTGTGGTGTGTGTTAGTGACCAGGGGGGAGAGGTGTGGTGTGTGTGTGTGTGTGTTAGTGACCACGGGGGAGAGGTGTGGTGGTGTGTGTGTTAGTGACCACGGGGGAGAGGTGTGTGGTGTGTGTGTTAGTGACCAGGGGGGAGAGGTGTGGTGTGTGTGTGTTAGTGACCAGGGGGGAGAGGTGTGGTGTGTGTGTGTTAGTGACCATGGGGGGAGAGGTGTGGTGTGTGTGTGTTAGTGACCATGGGGGAGAGGTGTGGTGTGTGTGTGTTAGTGACCACGGGGGAGAGGTGTGGTGTGTGTGTGTGTTAGTGACCAGGGGGGAGAGGTGTGGTGTGTGTTAGTGACCAGGGGGGAGAGGTGTGGTGTGTGTGTTAGTGACCAGGGGGGAGAGGTGTGGTGTGTGTGTGTGTTAGTGACCAGGGGGGAGAGGTGTGTGTGTGTGTTAGTGACCAGGGGGGAGAGGTGTGTGTGTGTGTGTGTGTTAGTGACCACGGGGGAGAGGTGTGGTGTGTGTGTGTGTGTTAGTGACCACGGGGGAGAGGTGTGTGGTGTGTGTGTTAGTGACCACGGGGGAGAGGTGTGTGGTGTGTGTGTGTTAGTGACCACGGGGGAGAGGTGTGGTGTGTGTGTGTGTTAGTGACCACGGGGGAGAGGTGCGGTGTGTGTGTGTGTGTGTTAGTGACCACGGGGGGAGAGGTGTGGTGTGTGTGTGTGTTAGTGACCAGGGGGGAGAGGTGCGGTCTGTGTGTGTGTGTGTTAGTGACCACGGGGGAGAGGTGTGTGTGTGTGTTAGTGACCACGGGGGAGAGGTGTGTGTGTTAGTGACCACGGGGAGAGAGGTGTGTGTGTGTGTGTTAGTGACCACGGGGGAGAGGTGTGTGTGTGTGTTAGTGACCATGGGGGAGAGGTGTGGTGTGTGTGTGTGTGTTAGTGACCAGGGGGGAGAGGTGTGGTGTGTGTGTGTGTGTTAGTGACCACGGGGGGAGAGGTGTGGTGTGTGTGTGTGTGTTAGTGACCACGGGGGGAGAGGTGTGGTGTGTGTGTGTGTTAGTGACTACGGGGGAGAGGTGTGGTGTGTGTGTGTGTTAGTGACCAGGGGGGAGAGGTGCGGTGTGTGTGTTAGTGACTACGGGGGAGAGGTGTGGTGTGTGTGTGTTAGTGACCACGGGGGAGAGGTGTGGTGTGTGTGTGTTAGTGACCACGGGGGAGAGGTGTGGTGTGTGGTGTGTGTGTTAGTGACCAGGGGGGAGAGGTGTGGTGTATGTGTGTTAGTGACCAGGGGGGAGAGGTGTGGTGTGTGTGTTAGTGACCAGGGGGGAGAGGTGTGGTGGTGTGTGTGTTAGTGACCAGGGGGGAGAGGTGTGGTGTGTGTGTGTGTTAGTGACCAGGGGGGGAGAGGTGTGGTGTGTGTGTGTGTGTGTGACCACGGGGGAGAGGTGTGTGTGTGTTAGTGACCACGGGGGAGAGGTGTGTGGTGTGTGTGTTAGTGACCACGGGGGAGAGGTGTGTGGTGTGTGTGTTAGTGACCACGGGGGAGAGGTGCGGTGTGTGTGTGTGTGTTAGTGACCAGGGGGGAGAGGTGTGGTGTGTGTGTGTGTGTTAGTGACCACGGGGGGAGAGGTGTGGTGTGTGTGTGTGTGTTAGTGACCACGGGGGGAGAGGTGTGGTGTGTGTGTTAGTGACTACGGGGGAGAGGTGTGGTGTGTGTGTGTGTTAGTGACCAGGGGGGAGAGGTGCGGTGTGTGTGTTAGTGACTACGGGGGAGAGGTGTGGTGTGTGTGTGTGTTAGTGACCACGGGGGAGAGGTGTGGTGTGTGTGTGTTAGTGACCACGGGGGAGAGGTGTGGTGTGTGGTGTGTGTGTTAGTGACCAGGGGGGAGAGGTGTGGTGTATGTGTGTTAGTGACCAGGGGGGAGAGGTGTGGTGTGTGTGTTAGTGACCAGGGGGGAGAGGTGTGGTGGTGTGTGTGTTAGTGACCAGGGGGGAGAGGTGTGGTGTGTGTGTGTGTGTTAGTGACCAGGGGGGGAGAGGTGTGGTGTGTGTGTGTGTGTGTGACCACGGGGGAGAGGTGTGTGTGTGTTAGTGACCACGGGGGAGAGGTGTGTGGTGTGTGTGTTAGTGACCACGGGGGAGAGGTGTGTGGTGTGTGTGTTAGTGACCACGGGGGAGAGGTGCGGTGTGTGTGTGTGTGTGTTAGTGACCACGGGGGGAGAGGTGTGGTGTGTGTGTGTGTTAGTGACCAGGGGGGAGAGGTGCGGTCTGTGTGTGTGTGTGTTAGTGACCACGGGGGAGAGGTGTGTGTGTGTGTTAGTGACCACGGGGGAGAGGTGTGTGTGTGTGTGTTAGTGACCACGGGGAGAGAGGTGTGTGTGTGTGTGTTAGTGACCACGGGGGAGAGGTGTGTGTGTGTGTTAGTGACCATGGGGGAGAGGTGTGGTGTGTGTGTGTGTTAGTGACCAGGGGGGAGAGGTGTGGTGTGTGTGTGTGTGTTAGTGACCACGGGGGGAGAGGTGTGGTGTGTGTGTGTGTGTTAGTGACCACGGGGGGAGAGGTGTGGTGTGTGTGTGTGTTAGTGACTACGGGGGAGAGGTGTGGTGTGTGTGTGTGTTAGTGACCAGGGGGGAGAGGTGCGGTGTGTGTGTTAGTGACTACGGGGGAGAGGTGTGGTGTGTGTGTGTGTTAGTGACCACGGGGGAGAGGTGTGGTGTGTGTGTGTTAGTGACCACGGGGGAGAGGTGTGGTGTGTGGTGTGTGTGTTAGTGACCAGGGGGGAGAGGTGTGGTGTATGTGTGTTAGTGACCAGGGGGGAGAGGTGTGGTGTGTGTGTTAGTGACCAGGGGGGAGAGGTGTGGTGGTGTGTGTGTTAGTGACCAGGGGGGAGAGGTGTGGTGTGTGTGTGTGTGTTAGTGACCAGGGGGGGAGAGGTGTGGTGTGTGTGTGTGTGTGTGACCACGGGGGAGAGGTGTGTGTGTGTTAGTGACCAGGGGGGAGAGGTGTGGTGTGTGTGTGTGTTAGTGACCACGGGGGAGAGGTGTGTGTGTGTGTTAGTGACCAGGGGGGAGAGGTGTGGTGTCTGGTGTGTTAGTGACCAGGGGGGAGAGGTGTGGTGTGTGGTGTGTTAGTGACCACGTGGGAGAGGTGCGGTGTGTGTGTTAGTGACCACGGGGGAGAGAGGGAGACACCGCAAACTTCAAATATACAGCAGCAGCAGGCGTCAGGGTCGAGATCGAACCCACGACCTCCTGTACACCAGGCGAGGGAGTTAACATCTCGCCCCCCTCTCTGGCAGGCGGCGTGGACACGGCGGCCGTCGGCGGCGTCTTCGACATCTCCAACGCCGACCGCATCGGATTCTCCGAGGTGGAGCTCGTCCAGATGGTGGTGGACGGCGTGAAGCTGCTCGTCGAAATGGAGAAGCGCCTGGAGAAGGGCGCCAGCATCGACGATCTCGTGCCGGCGCCCAAGTGAGAGGAGCCCGGCGCCCTCTTCGGTGATGGGGGGGGGGGGCGGTGGTGGAAGATCAGCCGCTCGCCTGCCCACCCGCCCGCCCGCCCGCTCGCCCGCTCGCTCGCCCGCCCGCCCGCCCACCCGCTCGCTCGCTCGCCCGCCCGCTCGCTCGCGCGTCTGCCGCTCGCCACAATATTTTGCCTGTCCGTCCAGCTGTCTGCTCGTCGAAACGCTCACCTGTCAATATACTGAACCGATCAAACTGTCCGTCTGGCGAACCGCTCACCGAAACGCTCACCTGGCCGTCCGACCCTCTCTGTTCATCGATGCGCTCAGCAGTCCGTCCGTCTGTTCGCTTGGCTTGCGTGCTATAAGCTCCCTGATTCAGCCGTCTACCCACACACCTGGGCATCCAGATACTAACCAGCTCACCTGCGCGCCCACCCACGTACCCGGGCAGCTGAAAGTCAGCATACCTATAAACCTACTTACACAGCCACCTACCCACCCGCTTCCCTACCTGCCCAGCTACCAATCTGCCGAGCCACTTACTCGCATACCCAACCACCGCAACCTTACCCGACCTATCCAGCGCAACCGCCTACCGAAGTGTACCCCACGTACCCAACCACCCGAGCACCTCCCCACTCAGCTACCTTTATCATTACTCTGCGTTGGTAGCTCACGTGACGCCATCCCGCCTCACCCCCCTCACCTCACCCCCTAGCCCCCCCCCACCACATCGAGTGATGTCTAATGATGTAGCCCCCCACCACCCCCCCCCCCCCCGTGTTACAACGCGCGTGGTGTGATTTATTTTTTATGATTATTGTGATCAATTGTTATCCGGTAGTATATATTTTGGGGATTGTAATTTAGTGGTTAATTGTTATGATCATGATGGTGATGACGATGACTCCGATTATGAAGGTTGACATAGGTCGTGATTAGGGCATTGTGGTGATGATGATGGTGATGATGAAGGTGATGATGGTAATTATGATGATGATGATGGCACCCAATGAACGTTAACTCTCATCGTGAGAGGCAATGATGATCGTAATAATGACTTCATATATTGTGATGATGGTGGTGGTAGTATATTTTTGGGGGATTATAATTTAGTGGTTAATTGTTATGATCATGACGGTGATGGTGATGATGACTCCGATTATGAAGGTTGACATAGGTCGTGATTAGGGCATTGTGGTGATGATGAAGGTGATGATGATGGTAATTATGATGATGATGGCACCCAATGAACGTTAACTCTCATCGTGAGAGGCATGACTTCATATATTGTGATGATGATGATGGTGGTAGTGGTGATGATGTTGATGCGGTTAATGATGATTTCTAAAAGAGGTTAGAGGCATTTCAGATGGCGGTACCACACTCGTTCTCTTCCACCTCAAGCCCACACGGACACACACACACGCAAATAGTAATCAAATGCTGCTAAAATAAACATAAGAACGCTGTATGCCACGTGTATTACACACACACGCGCAGTGAGAGATGCATCACCACACGTACACACGCAGGTACACAATATATTCCTAATGACATCACCTTTAGCCTAGGGAAATAGATGAGGTCAGCGTTGATCTGTATCGGGTCCCGCGTGACGCTACTCCACTCTTCCCTTGCCTCTCTGCCTCTCTCTCTCTCTCACAATTAAAATAACATATACAGAGGCAGGGCCGTCCATATGAGTGGGAAACTCATCCAGTGTGACACCCCTCCACCCACAACGCCTTCAAAATAAATCGAAAGTATTACATCTGACACTGTGACGTCGAAGCGCGGGCCCCCCGCCACTCCTCCCACCAAAGCGCGGGCCCGGGGCGGTCGCCCGTGATTCGCCGTGCACTCGAGGGACGGCTCTGCCTAGAGGCTGAGAGGCCACTTAACTCAACCCCCCCCGGTCTTCCTTGAGAGAAGGGGGACGGACCACCCCCCCCCCCTCCTCTGTCACCAGTGGACCTTGTTTTCTATGGAAGTCGCTCGAAACTGCGATCGATAGAAAACAAAATAAAAACGGATGAGACGCGAAGTGTTTATGGCTCTGTGGCTTCCTGTGTGCGCGCGTGTTGAGTGCGTTGAGTGAGCGTGCGTGCTGAGTGATGGTGGCTGTGTGCGTGGGGAATGATTGTGACTGTGTGTGACTGTGTGTGGTGAGTGTGTTGAGTGAGCGTGCGTGCGGAGTGATGGTGGCTGTGTGCGTGGGGAATGATTGTGACTGTGTGTGACTGTGTGTGTGGTGAGTGTGTTGAGTGAGCGTGCGTGCTGAGTGATGGTGGCTGTGTGCGTGGGGAATGATTGTGACTGTGTGACTGTGTGTGTGGTGAGTTTGTTGAGTGAGCGTGCGTGCTGAGTGATGGTGGCTGTGTGCGTGGGGAATGATTGTGACTGTGTGTGACTGTGTGTGTGGTGAGTGTGTTGAGTGAGCGTGCGTGCTGAGTGATGGTGGCTGTGTGCGTGGGGAATGATTGTGACTGTGTGTGACTGTGTGTGTGGTGAGTTTGTTGAGTGAGCGTGCGTGCTGAGTGATGGTGGCTGTGTGCGTGGGGAATGATTGTGACTGTGTGTGTGGTGAGTGTGTTGAGTGAGCGTGCGTGCTGAGTGATGGTGGCTGTGTGCGTGGGGAATGATTGTGACTGTGTGTGACTCTGTGTGTGGTGAGTGTGTTGAGTAAAGCGTGCGTGGTGAGTGATGGTGGCTGTGTGTGTGGGGAATGATTGTGACTGTGTGTGACTGTGTGTGTGGTGAGTGTGTTGAGTGAGCGTGCGTGCTGAGTGATGGTGGCTGTGTGCGTGGGGAATGATTGTGACTGTGTGTGACTGTGTGTGTGGTGAGTGTGTTGAGTGAGCGTGCGTGCTGAGTGATGGTGGCTGTGTGCGTGGGGAATGATTGTGACTGTGTGTGACTGTGTGTGTGGTGTGTTGAGTGAGCGTGCGTGCTGAGTGATGGTGGCTGTGTGCGTGGGGAATGATTGTGACTGTGTGTGACTGTGTGTGTGGTGAGTGTGTTGAGTGAGCGTGCGTGGTGAGTGATTGTGACTGTGTGTGTGGTGTGTGTTGAGTGAGCGTGCGTGGTGAGTGATTGTGACTGTGTGTGTGTGGAGAGTGTGTGATGAGTGTGAGTGGTGAGTGATTGTCACTATGTGTGTGTGTACTCACGAGGGGAGCGGTGGTGTAGTGGTTAGCGCCCTGCGCTACGAACCTGCCGTCCCGAGTTCGATTCCCGCTCACGGCCAACACCAGTGACGATTATCTGAACCGGCCCTTGGCCTCCCCTAGGTCGACTCAGCCTCAAATTAGTACCTGGCACGGTGTGTAAACATTGCAACCAGGGAGACAAAGGCGGCCGGGCGTGGTGCTGGCCACCCATCCCCTCGTGTGCCGTGCCGGCTTTGCAAAGGTGCTCGTTAACAGCACTTGCCCCAACAGTCCGTTCAGGCTATACGGGGGGATCTTTGTCTTTGGTGTACCCATGGTGGTACACGAGTGTAGTAACCGCACGGGAACAATTATTCCCATTTAAAAGAGACTGCTTTTCCGGTATCGATCCCGATGTGAGATTTCAGGGGGCTCCTCTAAGCACCCTTTAAGGGTGTGTGAGCGTCTTACGGTTGTGGGAATTTGTGTTGGGGTTTAATACATTGATGTAGACGCAGCCCTGCAAGTGCTTGATCACGCCACTGCTGACGGAAGTGGCCTGTCTATTGAAACAAACATTTTTTTTTACTTTACCAGGTAAGGCCCACTGAGCTGTATACGCTTATTTTAAGAAGCGACATGTCGTCCTGTGGAAATGTCTCGCAGCCAAATACACGACACGTGTGATGTTGATTCAAAGTGTGGAGGGGAATCACCGGAGGATCCGGAGAGACTTCGACTTTTTGACTTTTTAAACAACTTTCATTGCCGCCAGCAGCAACAGCACTGGAGGCGATTCCGATATGAAACACACAAAGTCACCAGCAACACAAACAAATAATTGCTTTAAATCCACGCGCTGTGGCGCTAAATGCACCGCGCACAACACGAAAGAAAAGTCACGTGGTGGTGGTGGTCATCGCACACGCCACGGTGACGAGGAGAGAGACACCGCAAACTCCAAATATACAGCAGCAGGCGTCAGGGTCGGGATCGAACCCACGACCTCCTGTATACCAGGCGAGGTAGTTAACATCTCACCACCACAACTCTCGAGCTTAGGGGGAGGGGGGGGTAAATCCGGTCTCATCTTACACGGTGAGCAGAGACAAGACGCGTCTGGAGGAGAGGTTCGGAGCACCTACATTTGACCCCACCACACGCGCCACCTGCCTTTCGATCACGGGCGAACAGCAGCGGCGGAATCGTCGATAGTGCGGGAGGTGGACAGAGGGCGCAGGAGAGGAGGGAGCGTGGTGAGAGGGGGTGCGGTGGGGGGAGATTGCGGAACCGACGTTCAACTTCCCACGCCGGCAGATGGAATCGGGGAGCCTTTCCAGGTCAGCTTTTAAGAACGGTGGCGCTGTGGTTGGGTACACCACGGTTACCGCTCGGGGTCAACCACCAGAAGACGAATATCTCAACCGGTACCGGTCGCGGGTCTCCCCTAGGTCGGCTCAGCCTTCGACGAGGCAATCTGTGCGCGACGCGTGATGAGCATCACCACTGGCGAGACGAAGGCGGCCGAGCGTGGATTGTGGCCACACCGCAACCTCGTGCGCTGTGGCGATCATCGTCGGCGCTTTACGCACGAACAGCACTTGCCTCAATTGCCTGCAAGAGGCTGCACGGGGGACCTTTGTCTTTGCTTGGCAGGTGTGCGCGCGTGTGGAGGTGGATGGGGGGAGGGGCTGCGAGGCCCCAGTGTCGTATTTAATTGGAGCAAGGGAGAGGGTGATGACAGGGGGGGATGGGGTGGGGCCAAAGGGGGTAAACGGGGGGAGGGGGACGACGAAGGGGGAAAGGGCGAGAGGGGGGGGAGCAGGTGAGGGTGGGAGGGAAGGGGGCCACGTGTGGGGCGAGGGAGAATGCTGGGCGGGGGGGGGGAGTAGGGAGGAGGAAAAGCGGGGGAGGGGGGGCGAGTGGGGTGGGTGATGATCAGGGACGGAAACAGAGGGGAGAGGAGGATAACATAACATCTATACTAGTCTACATGGTCTCCCCAGACCTCACCTAGAGTGTAGCCCTCTTCCGCCAGCAGTGGCGACAGCGAGACATTGCAGGGGCTGCGCTTCTACCCTTTCCCACCCCACCTATTCCCGTTTAAAAAAAATACACTTCTCCAACAACCTAGTCGTTCTTGAACAAGTCCAGTTCACCGAAACGTCGCGATATGAATGCCTCGTCAATTGCATCAAATTAATTATATTTTATTTCTACTGTGTACATAAATACACATGTACTGGACACCCAAAGACAAAGATTCCCGGCCACCCCCCTATTAGCCTTAACAGACTGTTGTGGCAAGTGCTGTTAGCGAGTAGCACCTATGAAGGTCGGCACGGCACACGAGGGCGTGGGTGGCCAACACCACGCTCGGTCGCCTTTGTCTCCCTAGTGGCGATGTTTACTACACACCGCACCAGGTACCGGACTCATTTAAGGCTGAATCGAGCAGGAGGAGGGGAGGAGGAGGTCCAGGAACCGGTTGAGATAATCGTCACTGGTATTGGTGGCCGTCAGCTACACTGCCGCTCGCCGAAACGCGCACATTAACGCACACGTGTGTACAGAAATACACGTGCACAGGAACACGCGTGTACATATGTATGTTGAAGTTCTTTCGCAACTCAGATTAGCACCGTTGGCTACTTACGGTGTGAAAGAAGTTCAACGTAAGCACGTACGTAGCCAACCGTGCTAATGGGAGGTGTCGGGGGAGGACAACAGTACGTACAGGACAACAGTGCATTGTCCTTGTACTGTACTGAAGTGTACAGGAACACACACGCGTGTGTACAGGAACACACACGCGTGTGTACAGGAACACACACGCGTGTGTACAGGAACACACACGCGTGTGCACAGGAACACACACGTGTGTGCACAGGCACACACGCGTGTGCACAGGAACACACGCGTGTGCACAGGAACACACGCGTGTGTACAGGAACACACGCGTGTGTACAGGAACACACGCGTGTGTACAGGAACACACACGTGTGTACAGGAACACACACGTGTGTACAGGAACACACACGTGTGCACGGGAACACACACGTGTGTACAGGAATACACACGTGTGCACAGGAACAGACGCGTGTGTACAGGAACATACGTGGATACATATAAAAACAGAGCTAGCTGCGAGATCGTTCAGGTGACCCCTGTGTCCACATATTAGCAAGGCAGCACAGGTTCCCCGCCCTCCTTGCCACGGCGGAATAATGTCACGCAGAATTTTTGTAACAAAAAATCGTCTCCAATTATATTTTTGTTCCGATTGTGCTCTCGGCGTTCGGGTTTTGAGACGAAAGCAACACCCGTTCCGAATCTCGCGCAGAGCACCCGAGACACTCCTTGCGTGCAGAGAAGTGACGCGCGGAAGTGGACATCACAGAGGCACCTCGGAGTGATCTCTGGAACCACACCGTCGCAGGCGGCGCTTTTCACGCCCGCCCTGCCGCGGAGAGCGGACCTCATAAGCGCTGCTCATGGTTTTATATTTTAAGGGCAATGTTGATGACGTATATATGTCCACATCTGTTTACATATTGGCACCGTGGTCACCCTATAGATCTGTTTTAATGCTTCCGTAGCTTTAATAGTCGAATTGTTGTGATCAGTCGTGACAAAAATAACCTGCCCCAGCCGATTTGCGCTGCAGGGAATTCAATATCACGGTTTCGAGATTGCGCAACGTTTTCAGTTTTCCATTTGACACGATTGGGTTTTTTTGTGTGTGCAGATTTCTATTTGATTCATCGATGTACAGTACTTGTGTTAGTTTGCTTGCGTCTTACTGGTTACCTGCAGGTCGGGTCACTCTTCCAGGTGAGACTCCAGATATCCTGACCCTATGAGTTCTCTGATCCACGTTAAATCAAATCATCTG